AAAACTTGTCAACTTCAGAAGAGCAAGAGGACTTAATCATCGTCGGACTCAATCATTCCTTACATTCTTAGATGAAACTGATACGAATCACCAGGACCTACTTTCCTTTCTAGTGTCCGCTCGTTAAGTTTGGGGAAAGTGCTCCAACGATTGTGGGAGCTCAAAGAGGAGATAAGCTCGTTTTTGGCATTAATAGGGAAATCTCAAAATTTCCCGAGCTGCGTGAGGAAAATTGGCTTTTGCTGTGTACATATTTTCACGCATGAATAAGCTTAACGTGAATTTTATTTTTTGTTTGTTTTTGTTTTCCCAAGATGGCGCCGACACATGTGGCAGCCTCGGTTACGCACTCCCAAGTGTTATCCCCCTTTTTGTCATATTCGTTAGTTTTTGGTGACCCTACGCGGCTTACTTACACGAGGGAAGAGTTGCTTAGCGTGAGGGAGTCTACTTTCGGACTTTTTTCACCACCACACGAAAACCCACAAGATTTTTCGCCGTTAATAGCGAGCGGAGCGGCGGCGCTGTACGGAGCATGGAAACACCGTCGGAGAAGGGGGAAGTGAGCTGGTGTGCTAGTCAAGCTACGTCAGCGTGGATTTCGAACACCGCTCCCATCGATCCATCTTGATAATCTACGTTCTCTGCCAAACAAGATGGATGAACTTCTTATCATCACAAAGACCAACAAAAACTATGCACGTTCTGCTGTGCTCTGCTTCAGTGAAACCTGGCTCAGAAACCGCCACCCGGATTCCGCGCTACATCTCGCCGGCTTCCGCCTACTCCGAGCCGATCGCAACACGGAGCTATCGGGGAAAACAAAAGGTGGTGGAATATGCTTCTATATCAACGAATAATGGTGCACTGATATCACGAAGCTCGACGCACACTGCAGCCCGGACTTGGAGTCGCTGTCTCTAAACTGCAAGCCATTCTACTCACCACGTGAGTTCACCTCCTTTGTACTAGTCGGTGTTTACATTGCGCCATAAGCTAACGCTAACACAGCGATACAAACGCTAGCTGAACAAGTAAACACACTCGAACTAAAATATCCAGAGTCACCCCTTATCATTTTGGGCTATTTTAATAGAGCACATCTTAACCGTGCAGTTCCCAGATATAAGCAGCACATTGACTGTTTCACCAGAGAAGGCAACATTCTAGATCACTGCTATACAACACTCAAAGGTTCATACTGATCGATTACCCGCACAGCACTGGGTCTTTGTGACCACTATTTAATACATTTAATTCCAACATACAGACAAAAACTCAAATGTGTAAAACCGGTTGTTAAGACTGTGAAGAAATGGACCAATGAAGCAAAGCTAGCTCTACAAGAATGCTTAGACTGCACTGATTGGGGTGTCTTTGAAACTTCAACAGGCACACTGGATGAATACACAGACACTGTAACATCATACATCAGTCTCTGTGAGGACATGTGTGTACCAACGAAGTCCTTTCGCTCCTTCAAAATTAACAAGCCATGGTTCACTCCCAAACTCAGGCAATTTAGAAAAGAGAAAGAGGCCGCATTTAGAACTGGAGATTGGGCACTGTACAAACACGCCCGAAACCAATTGACAAAAGAAATTAACATCGCAAAGAGAAGCTTTGCAGAGAGGCTGAAAAAACAGTTCTCTGCTAACGACTCTGCATCTGTGTGGAATGGCCTGAAAGCAGTCAAAACTATAGGACACCATCCCACTAAGCAGTGAACAATAAGGGTCTGGCTGATGAACTAAAGATGTTTTTTTGCCGATTTGAAAAGGACACCCCCACTTCCCACATATGCCGACCTCTACCAGAAACTGCTCTATCTACGCCCCCACCCTCATTCTCTGCCCTACAGATCCACGAACAGGATGTGAGATGGCTCTTCAAGCAGCAGAAGATCAAGAAATCTGCGGGGCCTGACAAAGTGTCCCCCTCCTGCCTGAAAGTATGCGCTGACCAGCAGGCTCTTCAACAGATCCCTGGAGCTGTGTGAGGTCCCATCCTGCTTCAAACAGTCTACCATCATCCCAGTTCCCAAGAAATCGGCAACATCGGAACTGAACGACTATAGGCCTGTCGCTCTGACGTCTGTGGTCATGAAGTCCTTTGAACGCCTTGTGCTGAACCACCTAAAGAACATCACCGGACCCCTGCTGAACCCTCTTCAGTTTGCCTACCGGGCAAACAGGTCTGTGGAGGATGCAGTCAAAATAGGGCTGCACTACATCCTCGAGCACCTCGACAGCACAGGGACCTACGCAAGGATCCTGTTTATGGATTTCAGCTCTGCGTTCAACACCATCATCCCGGAACTCCTCACCCCCAAACGAGGCTGGGAAGAACAACATCATCAACACGCACCACTAGCACTGGAGCGCCACAGGGATGCGTCCTCTCTCCACTGTTCTTCTCCCTCTGCACCGACGATTGCACCTCAACAACCCAGCCGTCAAACTCATAAAGTTCTCAGACGACAACACAGTCATCGGTCTCATCAAAGACGGCGATGAGTCTGTGTACCGACAAATAGTGGAGCAGATGGAGCTCTGGTACAGCCGACACAACCTAGAGCTGAACATGCTCAATACGGTAGAGATGATCGTGGACTTCAGGAAACATCTTTCCCCACAGCTGCCCCTCACACTATCCAACTGCCCTGTGTCAACCGTCGAGACCTCCAAGTTCCTGGGAATCACAATCTCCCAGGACATGAAGTGGGAGGTCAACACCAACTCCATTCTGAAAAAGGCCCAGCAGAGGATGTACTTCCTGAGGCTGCTGAGGAAGCATGGCCTACCACAGGAGGTGCCAAGACAGTTCTCCACGGCAGTCATCAAATCAATCCTGTGTTCTTCCATCACGGTTAGTTTTAGGGCTGCCACAAAAAAGGACAAAATCCGACTGCAACGGACAGTTAGGCCGGCGGAAAAAATCATTGGCACCGCCCTACCCACACTTGAGGACTTGCACACCGCAAGAATCAAGACAAGGGCATGGAAAATTCAACTGGACACCCCCCACCCCCCGCACCCTCCCCACCACCTTTTCCAGCTACTCCCCTCAGGCACGCGCTACCGATCCATGCGCACCAAATCCAGCAGACACTTAAACAGCTTCTTCCCTCTAGCCATTAACTCCCTAAACAGTAATCCAAATCTACCTGTATTGTGGCTCTTTGCAATTTTGCACAAACCTGTGGAACAGCATTACCGTTGTAATCATTGTAGCTCCAGCCCTGTACTCACCTGAACCACTGTCACTGACCTATATTCCACAGCACCAGACACTTTAAAGCACTCAAGGACGTCTGCATAATTGCACACTTGTTGTACTACAAATACTGCTACTGGTCACATTAAAATGGTTCAATGATTTTCTGCACCAACTGTACAACTGTCATAGTATTGTATTCTACCACTGATCACTTTAGCTCTGTTTGATACTCTGCACATTGTCTCACAGTTGTCATTTGGTGGTACCACCACACAACGGTACACTTACATTACGGAATGTCCTTCCGTGCTTATTTGTCATGTCCTTGTTTATGATGATACTAGTGCAGCATGTACTACCGGAGACAAATTCCTTGTGTGTTCTACATACTTGGCCAATAAAGATTATTCTTATTCTGATTCTGATTCTGAAAGATCAGTTTGTGTTTGACAAATGTGAAAGCCTTCAAATTCAAGGTGATTTTATTCTCCAGGCAAATGTCAAAAAAAATGTTTTGCTCATTTTTCCACACAGCCATGCAGAAAGAGGACACCTGAAACATGAAGAAATACTAAGAAAATTGTGCCGATAGTACAGTACTGTGATTCAGAAAAAAAAGTGACACCCGCTGTCACAAGACCCGAGAACACCACCGCAAAAGCTGCAATTGGAACTGATCGATCTCCAGTCCGACTTTGCCTCAAAGGATAAGTTAAAGCAGACCCGGGCATTTTTGGAATGAAGACAATAACAGCTAAAAAGTACTTTCAAAATTTTGCATCATGTGTGTGGGGCCGCGGCCCGGATCTTACCGGCCTGTGAAAAGTTGCTTGGAATTAAGAAAATAAAACCTACTTTCAAAATTTGCACAGTGTGTGGATGAAAACAGCAGTACTTTTACTGTGAAACCTGTTTACCTACAGGTACTCTGTCCGAGTCCACGTGATTAGCAACAAGTCATGGCAATGGCAACTCTTCAAAATGTTCCCGCATGCCAAATAAAACAAAAGGTGGACCCTCAATGCTGTGGTTTCAAGAAAATATGGAACGTTAAATATTGAGGTCAATAAATATTGAAGAACACTGAAGTCAGGGGTAAACCCGTGTGTTTAGTTTGTGGTGAGTGGGTTGCTGTGGTGAAGGAGTATAACGTGAGTTGGCATTATGACACGAAGCATGCGGAAAAATACAGACATTTGACTGAGGCTGGGAGAGCGCAGATATCCAAATATTTGCTCGCGAAGCGAAAAAAAAAAAAAAAAACCTTTACGCAGCCCGGGAAGCAGAAACCAGGAACAGCTTTGTGATATCAAACTAAATCGCAAAGAACTTTTGGCCATTTTCAGAGGGGGAATTTGTTAAAGAGTACTTGGTCGACTTTGGAGTGCGAATTAATATGTCCGGAAGAAGTCTTTCATTGTGTGCTTCACATCTCCACCTCAAACATTCACCCTGCTTTGATACACTTGTTGAAGCTCAACAGAGGCTAGATTTTTCTCACTGAACAAGAAGAAGCCAAACAAAACAAAACATTGAAACATGTCTACTTAGATTTTTTTTCTCCTTTGTTTGGCAGTAGGGACAAAAATGTTGTGAGTTATGTTACATTATTACTGGCATACAAATGTTACATTATAATATATATATATATATATATAT